GGGGCGCCGTTACCGGCGGTGGTGGCTCCCTCAGCCCAAGCTCTGGGAAGGCGGCTGGGAGAAGAGGATGAAGCCGTCCCACCTTCCCGTCATCTGCAACTGGGTAAACGAAAGATATTGGAGTGAGGATAAAATGGTTGGAACCTAAACGGCGACCTATAATGGCAATCGTATCAGTGGCGGCAATGATACTGAGGACCTGGCATTGAACTGTCGTGAGTTGTGCTGTTCTGGCATTATGGAGCTCTGATGTGCTTGTCCATCTGGAGAGGGAATGTCCCAAAGGATGTTGTGAATAGGAACTTGAAGTGTGAAAAGACGATACCCAGTAAGTTTGTCAATGTCAGAGCAAGGAAAGTGTCAAGTAAGCTGTTACCCCCTGTCAGTATGAGGCTTGTGCATCCTGACACCCTTTGCTACCAAAATAAATCCTCTCCAACTTGGGATCTTTAGGGCCCCTTTCCTGCAATAGGGACCACCAGATACCAAATTCGCTGCATTGGACTCTGAGCTTCTGCTTGTTTATAGAGGAGAGGAGGCCTAAATAGTGGTATTGCTGCAAGTTTCCCAGGAATAAATTTGGAGCTTGTTAGGGACTGTTGATCCAGATCAAGGTGGAGCACTTATGCATTAGCGAATACAAATGACTGACTAGTTCTGGGAACACTAGAAATTTAAAGTACTGTGGAGGCTCTGCAGGCCGTGCTTGGAGAAGGGACCAGGTATACATTTTATAGAAATACTGTAAAACATTTTCAGGGATATCACTGGTACTGACATGTGGGGAAAAAATACTAAAAAAAAAACCCTAATAGCCTCCAGGCAAATAAGTAGAGGTTACTGAATGGAATCCCAAGTAAAAGTAAAGCAAGCTCAATCTTCTGAGTGGATTGGAAATGGAAAAAAAGTCTGTTTTAACATTGATCACCTCCATCCACATGTTAAGAAATTAGGTGGATGACATTGATTACCTAAGCAGTCATGGGAAGAGCCAGATGCAGAGGGTAAGAGGTGGAGTTTATAACTTAGCAATCAACAGTCAGGTGCTGAGAGCCTTTGGGTTTGTGTACAGCCATACAAAGCTATTAAAAGGGGAGTGGGTGTGGATAATTATTCCCTGCTCCTCTGAGAGGAGTGTAGTGATTTGTTTGAGGGCTTGCAAATTTACAGGACATTGTAGCAGATCAACAATATGGAGCATAGAAGGTAGCAGAGGTGCTTCTTAGAATACCCAGAGTAGTTACCATAAGTTTCCTTAAGCATCATGGAAAGCATGTGTCTAAGTAAGATCATACCTAGGATGTTGGAGTTCCCCAAGACTGCAGTTCCTCTGACTGTATGTCCCTTAGGGAAGCCAAGCTTAACTGTAGCTATGGAAATAACATGGAGAGTGATCTCATGAATCCACAGACCACAGCGGAGCTGCAGGGGGTAGTCCTTGTCAGTTATTTCTGCATTGGAAGATTGCATAAACTGCACCCTCCATGCCACAGAGAGGGATTGGCCACCCTGTGCTGTTAATTGTACTCCCAAAAGGTCATGGAGGTTGGAAGATTCATGGCCTCTGGGTTCCCAACTGGAGGAGCAGTGGGAGAAAGGGCACATTGGCCCTTACCTCCCACCAAGGAATGTTGGACATTGTTGGAAAGAGCAATAACACTGCCGCTGGCACTCAGTGAATTGCCTGTCAAGGAATGCCCAAAGCTAAGCAGACTTTCCAAGCTTCTAAGTGTTTGGGGTCAGGGCTTTGGCACATGGGTTTGGAGGGATTTTTGACTATGCAGATAATGGGTGATTTTGACAGTCAGAATGGCATCCTCAGGAGACAGGAAGAACGGGCATGGCTTTTGCAAAAACTGACAGTGCATGGGACTAGGGCCTCTATCAACATCAGACGAGTTCTGAGATGACCAGGACCTTCCTAACTATTCAATGCCATTGGATTTCAGAGGGACTGCCTCCCCATAAGTGCTCATCTGCCTCTGAGGCAGTAGCAGAGAATGTTTAATTACTAGCTTAGCCATGCTCCATTCCCAATCTACAGGAATTGTCAGGGAATAGCTAGGAATCCCAAATCATCTCAGGAAATTTCCCCTCAGACCCATGTAAATGGTGCTGAAAAGATACAATCCGTATTTCCCTCCAGAGCCTGACAGCAGGACTCCAAAATCCACTACACACCACACTTGCAGACAGGTTAAGTAACAGCCTGGAGGTAACAGGTGTCTGATAGCATTTGCCCAATTCAGTTAAGTTCGTGCTAAAGAAGGAGCATGTGGCTATACCCACTACTCTTCCAGCAGCATTGTATTTTTTAACAGGTGTTTGTCTGGGTGGGATTTTGGGACAGTGAGCTAAGATATATCTTTGTATGAATCCATCACACTAGATATTTCTGAATTCTGGATCAACATCCGTAAGCCCTACAAAATTTTGTTTCTGACATCCCCTTTTCCACAGCCTCTGATGATTTTTTTTTCTCAAATGGATATAACTAGCAGAGGGACCATAACATGCTCCAGCTGCTCCACATTTGCCTGGAGGCTCTTAAACCATACAGTGTCTACGACCTTCTATCATAGTTGGAGTGTCCTACAGGATCTGAGCTAATTCTTCTGCAGGTGGGCAAACTGGGTGTTGCCAGACTCCAGCAGTGCTCAGTAGCTTTAAGTCAGTGAGCTACAAAGAATAAACAAGGCAACATCCTTTTCATTATTTATCTTTCTGAGTTAGCTAAAAATCTGAGGTCCATGGGCCAGGTAATCCTAAGGCAGCTATTACTGGGTCGAATCTGGTCATGGTGTTCTATATCATGTCCTGCTTTTGGCACTAAAGAAACGCACATAAAGCTGTATTTGCAGTGTTGGTTTGGGATATGATAGCAAACACAACACCATGACTTGCAGTTGAGGGCTAACTAGTTTACTGAGAAACTACTGAAATAAAATGAAAGCAATAAAATATTATTGGGACTCCAGTCAAAACAACAACCCTAAACGGCGAGCTTGGGCTAATATCTAGGCACACAAGTCCACAGATATGAAGCAAGCTTGCAAAACCAGGGCATGGTTTCTTCAGAGGAGTTATTCAGAGCCAGTAGTGAGATGGAAGTTCTAGATTTCCCATCTGGATAAGTTCCTTTTATTTGCATCATCATAAAATCACTTTCTGGACTCATCAGACCATTGTCACGTTCTTGTGAACTTTTTGGTGGTTGGGTGTGGGGGGTCCTACAGGTGTAATGATGGCATAAGGCACTACTAGCCTAGTATTTCATTACCCTGATCAAAATTGTATCCCCTGGCTCTTTATTCGGAAGTAATTAATGTTTGCCCTCAAACATTTGTTTGTGATCTAAACTTAATTTTGAGTCATCTCATCTCAAAAGGTAAAGCTCATTCTCTCCCTTCAAAAATTTCAAGTTACATATTTTCAGTGAATCACAAACACTATTTTTAAAAATATAGTTTAATGCACTTTTTTATGCAAGCGGTGTCTGAGTTTGAGCTCTCATCAGTCTTTGCCGTAGTCAGTGAGTTTATATTTAAATCTGGTCTGCATTTAAGGCTTTATATGAAGGAGTACTACTGTGAGTTGATTCAGCAGAAATGGATGATACATCATCCATGGAATTTATGAAGGGTAAAGTTTTTGGTTTTGAGCTGTCAGTGTGGGAACCATTCCATACACCTGATGCTGTTGTTTCACCCCTGACTTTACTTTCTGCAGTTCTAGCAACTGATGAATGAGAAGCTCTCTTCAAAGAGGAAAAGAAAGATTGAAAAGCTGTTCTCTGTTGTTCAGGTGAGCTTCTTTGTGTATTAGAAAAATGCCTAAAACACAGAACAAAATTCATGTTATTTTAATCAGGGGAGTCCCATGTAGTCTTAACGGATCTCATCAGGGATGCATAAGAAGTTACTACATTTTCATTTTTCAGGATTTGAACTGACAGGTATATCACATTTCATAAGTTTTTTTTTTTTTTTTTTTTTGTGTATCGGCTCTGAGAAATAGTACTTTGGGACTTTTAATAAATTATCTTTTCAATTTCATTTGAAAGGAAAAAGTATTCACTGTATGTGTATGCAACCTTCTCCAACTTTTATCACATTTTTGCAAAGTTTTTATACTACATTTGGCATAGCAGCCTTCCTTTAATATCCCTAATATTAAAGTCCTCAATACTTTTTTTATTTGTACAGAGTTTTTACTATCAAGAAACACACAATATAGTAATTTGTGGTTGCGTATAGAACCTGAAGCCTGTTGCTGTGCGTGCCTTCAGCTCATGCAGAGATCAAAGGTGAACTAAAAAGTCTGAATACCATAGACATGGTATATGATTGAAAGTGCTTACCCTTTTTGTCTTCTGTACTTGTAGAAAGCCACACCACAACATATTATCAATATTAAGGAAAAGGCCAGAGTTATGGATGACACAGCAAGTGTGACATTTACTTTAAAATCTTCTTGGCTTATTTCTTGAGCTGTTTTCCTTTGAGGTAAATCATTCCTGTCTGACACTACGACAATAAAGCACACCAACTGTACATCAATACATCAATTGTATTCAAACAGGCAATGGACACAGAAAAGGATTATACCTGTGCAATTTTCCAATTCAAATTAGCACTTCTTAATAAAAGGTCTAGTTTTGCCAAAATAAGATTTTTTATTTGTCCATATAGTAATGCAAAGTAAGTCTGCAACTGCTCTAATAGCTACTTGATTTCATCATTTTGTTGCTTGTGATGCCTATAAAAAGGAATGAAACTTTAAGTTGTCTCCAGTGAGTTAATTATTTCTCTCTTTAACATTTTTACTGCTTTTAACAGATACCTCTTTACAAAAAAAGAAACCACAAAGAATAATTTCTTTTCTTACAATTTGCTTTGTAGAAGTATATTTGCTTATTATCCCTTTGTTTAAGAAATGAGATTGGGATATTTTTCCAACTACTCAGAAATAGAAGCAAGATAAATTATTTTGCCAGATTTGACAAGTATATGCTGTTGCTTCACTCACGAATCAATATAGATCAAGAACATGCCAAATTCTAACAGTGCTCTCACTTAGGTCAGTGAAACTTCTACCATAAATTTGTGGGTGAAGATAACAGTTGCAATAGTAGTAAAAGGTTACTGAAAGGATAAAAAAAATAGATAAACAAACTCCAGAAGGTTTGAAGGTTTTGGGGTAGATGCATGTCTCCAGTCTTAAAGTACCTATTTCCATGACTTTTCCACAGCATGCTGTATGGCCTGGGATATATCTCACACTCTCTGCGCTTCTGTTCATCTACCTGCTAATTAGTACATGTTTCAAGAATGGGGCTTCCCTGTTGATTTCTCCTTGTTCTATGACTCTTAGATAAAATACAACCAACTCCCTTGACTTCAGGTTTCTTCTCCATTTTGCCATGAAATACAGAACGGATCTTGGTCTACTTATACTATTGAATTTGAAATATTAAAGTTTTTTTTAAAACTTATTTTTTTTCTATACTATACCATCCTGAGACTTGACTTTGCTGGCGCTTTGTTTGAGAACATTAAGATAATGGGGTCCAAATCTTGATTCTGTGGGAAAAAGAAATGAGAAGAAGTACAAATGTTACTTCTCTGATAAGAGCAGTGAAAGAAAAAAAAATAGTTCAACATCTGAAATCAAAGAAAAGGACATGAAGTGTGCATAGGAAATACGCTCATTGCTGTCAAAAGCTAAAGAGACAGAGAAATTACAAAGTGAAATTTCCTAGAAGACATGATTAAAAAATGCTAGGAGCACTTTCTGTAGAAAAACAGCAACAAAGCTTTTTTTTTTTCTTCAAGATATTTTTTTCTCTTCAGTTTTGCACTTCTGCAGCTCTTAAAAATTTGAGAGCTTGAAATTGTTGTTTTGAACTTATCAAGTACCTTGTCTAGAGTTCAGTGAAACTGAGAATCATGTCAGATTAGTGTTTTTTTTTTTTTTTTAATTACACTATAGTGCTAGAAACCACAATGAAAAAACATGAGTTAGCTCTTACCCACTGCCTTCTGTTCCTCTTCAGCTCTCTGGATGGAGAGGAATTTTGCTATGAGAAGTAATACACAAACCAAGTGAAGTTAGGTGGGGGAATCTTTTGGGGACAGAAAATAAATACTTATGCAGATCCCAACCTCTGCATATGGATTTTAGGCCAAACTATTTTTTGCAGAAACCTTTTCTAAATTTACATTTAATAGCCACATTAAATGGAAATGGAAAATGGCCACATGTAAAAGGTGATGCGTCATTTGCCTGTGGTATACTGGATGGACAGTTTTTAATTGAGTCATTTTCATGCTTCTCAGTAGTGAAGGTGATGAGGGTGAGGATCAGAACAAATACATTACTTCCTATATGCAGTAGCTCACCTAGCAAACATTACTGCATAACTATGGGGATCAATTCTCACTGTCTTCAGTTCTTGTCTAAATTATAACAAAGATACCTTAACGGAATCATTCAGGCACATGCACACCTGAAAACTGACTGTAACTGGATGTACAGAATGCTGTGTTTGTTGGTAGATACCTCTGTGCTGGCTTATTTTCCACAATGAATTCATATGTGGACTCCCTTTAAACAGGGACTGTTTAAAGTCCACAATGCTGATCAGAGTGATCACCAGTAAGCACTCAGTTAAATCTAGTTGGTGAAAAAACGTGGGATCTGTGGGATCTTATTTCTCACACAAGTCAGTTTATCTATATAAATTTATTTTGTGAGAAACCAGGCAGCAGAATACTTATTGCCCTCTGTCATCTGTCTTCCTATGCTTTTGTTTCTTAGTCTGTGACTAATTTAGGATTTCTTGGCCTAACCGAGAATCTTTTTATTTCATTCTCATGATGGTTTATCAGCAGCAAATGAATATGACACAGGAATAACTCGGAGACGCTCGACTGATGCTTGTGCCCAGTTAGGCACTTGATTCTGGATTTTATAACTCCTTAAGCTTCTGCAAATAGCTTCTAGCTATTCAGATGGTATATTCTGCTACTTACAATAGTCTTGTAAATGCCGTGCAGTCTTCTTTAACAGATCTTGTGTGCCATAAAGTTTGGACACAGATGGACTTGCAGCAATTTCTAAATGAATACATGTTAAGTTAAAATCTTTCTTTGAGATACAAGTTTGTGTTTTTTTCTACAGAACACAATGGAAATTGTTAAAAAGAAAGATAAATTCACCGCGAATGCTGATTTTCTAGCCACCTAGTTGTGCTCTAACAAGTGGCTCATTAAATGCAGTCACTTTTAGAGACAATAACTATTCTCTAGTTCGAAAATTTGAGTTGCACTACTCTGTAACTATCTAAAATACCATAGAAATATTCAATCTGAAGGTCAGACATAATGATTTCTTCCTCTATTTTTTAATTAATAACTGCTTTATTTCCAGCCTACATCATGCTTACAAATGAGTAAGCTTTTTCACAACTTTCCTGTATATTCATTTTGAGGACTATTAAAAGCAGAATTCCTATCTCCTTCTCTCCCTTTACCCCTCCATCCCCTCCACACACTACACAACATGAGAGCCATTTAGCAAAAATCTGTTCCTTACAGGAGTATTCCATAAATCCATTCTTTACCATTGCATGGCTCTGGTATAATAAATTCGTGTATTCCCAATGGTGCCAGAAATAAAGCCAAAGTGATTCTGTCCTGAAGGCATTCTGTTCTGTTCTGTTCTATTTTTCATACAGTCCCATCTGTAAGCACTCCACATGTTATGCCATGTTTCAAGAATGTGACTAGTAAAACAGTACATGCATTTGCAAAGCCTTGTTCCTACAAACTCTTGGATTGGTGTTAATGGCTAAGCCATTCAACTGGCTTGCATAGAGACAGCAAATCTGAGAGAAAATATTTTGAAGATGAATTGTGAACATCAAGTTTGTCATATAAAAATTCCATTTCACAAAACATTTGCTTCTCTGACTCTACACTGACATAATACTCATACTGTGGAACTTAATTTCATTTTTACCAGTTTCTGTAAGGTTTTCCATACCTTGACTGTGTTCATCATCACTGTTTTCTTCAGCACCATCTTCTTCTTCATCCTCCTCCAAGTGACTTTGAGGTAAAGGTACTTTCGAGTAATCCACAAAACGGAACAACTCTGTTACAAAATACAAAAATTTCGAGAACTATATTTGCTAATTTTTTGACAAGCTGCAAAATGGGTTTGCTGCAACAAGCAATTCTGAAAACATTGTTATGTAAGTGCTGCAACAGTACTGTTCACTTTTCCAAGATGCTGTTACTCATTGCATAAAGAAAATCTGAACAGTTATAGGAGATCATATTTCCAAACATGGCATCCCTGTGCCATCTACGTACATGCATTAACACTGATCAGCTGTCCACTGCATCAGGCTTCCACTTCCCTATTACCCTCAGCCTTCAGGGTATAGCATGCCAATCACAGTATTTCTCCATCAGGCCAAGAAATTATCCATGCTAAGAAAACTAGCCCATTCTCAGGTTTTGTTGTGTACCATACTACATGCAATGGTCAGAAAGCAAACTTTCCTTTGTTTACTGTGTAAAACAAAGTTTTGTTGTCTTCTGTTTGTGCACGATGAATCTCATCCAGTCAAAAATACAATGTATGTTAGTAACACCGTGCTGTAGTTCTTGTGGACCAAATTCAATCTACTCCTCCACAGCTGGAGGAGTGGAGATCAGGAGCAAATCTTACGTAATTCAAGATTCAATTCATTTCCTGGGTCAGAAAGCTATTCTGTAAGTTTCTCTCTGGCCAGAAAAAAAGTGCTATTCTCTCTAGTTTGCTGAGCTCTAATGCTTATGTTCTGCCTGGGGTTGGTATAGTTGCTAGTGATCCTGGAGAAGCCCTATGCACTTTCACCTCCTGTTCAATATTGTACCTCCACACAGTCAGCACAATCACTGTAGCATGTGTTTTCAAACTTACCATGCTACAAGAAAGACCATTCTAGAAAAGAATGGTCTTGTTAAACTTTTTTTTGGAAAATAATTATTATTTAACTACAAAGATAATGAGAGAAAAAAAATCCTTCTATCTCTTTCTATAGCTGAGCAAAAGCTCTGTTATTATTTTTAGCAGAAACCGGTTTGGATTAGGACATACCTTCAGAAGGTGGAACATGCTTTCCGAGAGTCCCCACAGAAGTTAGGAAAGATAAAAAGATAAGCCACAGGGGATTCATGCTGCTTCTGTGGACCATGTCCTGGAACTACATTGCTGCTTTTCTTAGTCACTAGTGTCACATTCTGGAGTACTGTGACATCACCTTGTATTTAGGGCTATAGGCAGTGAGTCAGAGAAGAACATAATATTTGCTTTCTGCAAAGATACCTACCACAAATGACCTTGGAAATAGAGATGACACATCTTAACATAACATAGTTATTTTTTGAACTTATAAATTGAAATGCAGAAAACCATACAGACATACAAGAAGGACAGAGCTTCTCCTTTCTCCTGTGATTTCTTCAGTGTTTAACCATGTTATGGGTTGTTTTGGAGGTGGTGGTTTTATTGTTTATTTTTTAAAGTTCTTCTAAAAAATAAAGTCCTCTTCTGCTGAAAATTACTACTGCAGCATGCACCCAGAGCTGAGGTACCTGCTGCCTGTGGAGAATGCTCTTTGGCCCAGGGATGTCCTGTACTTTGAGGCCCGTGTTTGCCTTGAGGACAGGGAGTTTCACCTTGATGGGCAAGATAACAATGAAACTGCTGAATTGTACTCTAATGATGTGTCAGAGATGCAACAGGCAAATGAAAATTGGAAATGACAGCCAACCAACTCCTCCGGTTGGACTGTGGGTATCCCTCTGCTCCCCTTAACCTGAGATGCTGGGCTAACATAACTCCTCATAAGGTTGAAAGTCCCATGTACACTGAGGGCGAAGACAAGCACTTTCTAAGACATGCAGTGTAATTCACTTAGTTACAGTAATTGCTATTTGCTATTTGGTAAGCCTGTCCCTTATAATAATCACACCAGTTAATGGTGGATGCTTATTATCACAAATAACTTGGTTCGTGAACAGAATCGAATAACTAAAGCCCACTGTTTTTTGCCCCTCTGATTTTTTTTACTGTCCCCTTCAATAAGGTAGCACAACACACCTCTCCCGTGCTCTCTGGAGCCAGCACCACAGAGCCAGCAAGTTTCATCTGAATGGTGAGCATCTGCTTGCAGCTCTCAGGAGGAGGCTGCTCTGAGCGGCCAGGGAACACAGGGAGGGCTGGATGTCATTCTCCAGTGAGGGCTGAAAGGCTGCCACATAAAGAAAGGGAGTAACAATGTTAGCCATCTCTTTGCAGAGGCACCCCCCAGTGTTACCCTCCAAGCCATACTGGCCCTGTTCAGCTCTTGTCACGGTGTGAAGGGAGCTGGTGGGGCAAGGGGATCAGCTGCAAGTTGCTGCCACTCAGCAGTGCCCTCCGATGCCCCTGACCTCTTCCTGCACCCCAGAAATCTCCCTGGAGCAGGGCACACTGCTGGAGCAACCTGAGCTCCCTCCCCGGGGCTGGGACAACTTCCCCACACAGCCGCCTCCTCTCTGGCAGGCTTGGCCCCAGGGAAGTGGAGTAGCTGAGGCAGGGCCAGGGGCTGACCTGGGAACCAGCAAGGCTTCCTTCCATCCAGCCACCCCAGGCTCGTGGAAGGCCAGGCCTTGCGCCAGGCACACTGGGCTCTGTCAGCCACAGTGCTGGCTGCTGCAAGGGCAGCTGGGCCTAGAAGCAAGGGACAAACAGAGGGACCCCAGGGCCTGTGGCTCACCAAGGAATCACACAGCCGCCTCTTGCAAGGATGCCTGAGAGTCCTCCACGTAACATGCAGGCTCTGCTGCACGTATTCTGCCATGTGGCTCCTGCCTCTCACCAGCTGCACAGAGCACAAGAACACGGCCCTGGCTCAGAGCTTCCCCACAGAGTCAGGCCAGGTCCTGCTCCCTGCACCTCCTCCCTTTGTCCTCTGCATCAGGGCATGGAGGGCACCTCCCAGGCAGGAGCCGTGTGGGGCTGAGCTTTGGAGAGAGCAGCAGGCAGCGTGTGGCCTGGTGCTGCTGAGGAGCTGGAGTGGTACCAAGGCCCACGTGGGCCAGGGTCTCCTTCAGCAACCTGGCACGGAGCGCGGGGAAGGCACAGCCACGTTTCGCATGCAGAGCTGTGTGGGCATGGGCAGGCCTTGTGCATATGGCACCTTTGGCCACCAAAGGCTCTCCTTAACAAGCAGTCTCCAACCCTCCAGCTCTGCTGTGTCTGGGTCACGTCCCTGAGCTGTGCCCACTTCAGGAACACTGCAGCGCAGACAGGGCTTCCCAGGAGGCCCACAGAGAGCAGCAGAGAGCGGGACATGGCACTGCAGTCCGGGGAGGAGGCTTGATGGCCCCCCCAACCCCGCTTTGGCTCGGCCCCTTTCCTGGCTCTTTGGAAATTGATACCTGGGCCACACTCTGGGTCTCATCATGCAGGTGTAAGAAGAGCAGCAGAAGGCACTTGTGCACTTTCTTCTTTATCTGCTTCTTCACTTTGTCCTCCACCAGCTCCATCAGCTCTTTGAAGTGGCCGATGGAGAGCTCTCGAACTTGGCTGGACGCCTGCGAGGAGAGAGGAGGGGGGACCTGAGCCTCGGCTGCTGCCTGCCCACGCTCAGCATCAGCAGTAGTGAGGCTGATGTGCAGAGGGGTGCTTGGCACTGCAAGCCTCTACAATGGAGCTGTGGGCCCCATGTGCCCCTGGTGCCAAAGGTGAGGCCAAAACAGCTTTACAGAGGCACTAGCTTTCCAGAAGGGGCTGTGGCCAGGGAGAGCAGAGTCAGGAGTGTCTTCTGGGCCTGAAAGTGCCTTCCCCTCCCAGCTCCACTGACACCAGGTAGCCACGGCAGGAGCTCGCACCGCCCCTTGCCCCCGCTGCAGGGGACTTGGTTGATCCTCCAGCACAGTGCCCGACTTGCTGAAGCACAGGTGCTGACAGCATGTGGTCCTGCCTGACAGAGGTCACTGCAGGAGCTCTCTCAGGCTTGGAAGCAACCTGAGGGGAGAAGCCAACAGAAGCAAGACAGCGTCTTTGGGACAGAGGCTTGCTGAATGTCCTAAGCTGTGTTCAAGCATGCTTTGGAGGGATAGCTCAAATACAGGGCATGTTGCAATGCTGGCAAGGTGTTGGGGGCTGCCTCAAGGTTGCCTGCCCTTGAGGTTCCTTCCCTGCAGACAGCAAGGGCTTGAGGAGCTCTCTGCTCAGCCTGGTGATCCTCCTTAGAGCCCTCTCATGCTCAGCTGCTCTTGGGTACCCCATGAAGGGCAGCAGTAGCTGGCAGAAGGAAAGCAATGTTCTGCCTTGCAAGAGCACCACAGCTCTGCAAGGAGCCTTGGCAGCTCTGCCCAGGCTCTGGCAGCATTTAGGCAGCGCGTATGCAAGCCCTCCTCAGAGCAGGAGCCTTGGTGGGACAAATGTACAGGCTGACTCACTGTTCCCTGGAGGCTTGCAAGGGCAAAGATGAGATACAGCCCATTGAGAGGGCAGAGGAGTCAAGGTTCTGGGGTGAGTTCCTCATGCCACGTGGGCAGGTGGCCTCTGTTAATCACTGCATTTCTCAGATCTGTGGAAGAAAGCTCAAGGAAGGGGATGCACTGCAATGTCAGCTGCTGACTATGTGGGGCCTACGAAGAGGACTTGATCTGCTCTTTGCTGCAAAGATAAGGTTTCAGTGGAGGAGAGGATGTTGGCGAGGAGGGACTTGGCCTTTCCCTTGACAACAAAGCACCCTGTGGAAGGGGGCTGGCCTCTGCCTGCATCCATGAGACTAATTGTAACCCTGCTGCTTCTCTGAGGGCATTGACTCCTCTCCCTGCAGCATGCTGTCTGCACAGGCCCCTCAGGGCAAAACAGGCTTGCTGATGCTGGGCAACCTCTTCAGGGGCAGGAGAACCCAGGGCCATGTGCACAGGCCTCCCTGTAACCTGGCCCACAGTGATGCCCTCACAGGCTTCTACCTGAGCCGTTTTTGCTCAGCCTTCTCCCTAGGCGCTCCTTGGCCTGCCTGGGAGCTAAGCATGATGGGAAGGGCTTCTTATGGCCAGCTCCAAACAGAAGTTGACTGTACTCACCGCAGCCCTTGCTCTCCAAGAGGAAGAAGGGAGAGAAGCCCTTGGCTTCTTCAAGGTTTGCCCTGGCCAACTGGGGCAAATGCAGTCATCCTGCCACGGAGCACTTGACACAAGAGTCCTCTCAGCTTGTCTGCTGGCCCTTCTTCACCTTCACGTTCCCTCAGACAGACTGGCACCTCAGAAAACACTGGGCAGCAAGCAAACCTTTTCCACTGCGCGGGCAGGGAAACATTGCGTAGGCACTGCTCACAGAGGCCCCATGTTGGCCCCACCAACACTCGAGGGCCAGAATGGCAGGGCCAAGCACAGGGTTGTTGTTGGGACCAAGGTCTTAAAAATCTTATTTGGAAATACAGTAAGGCTTTACTGAGCTCTTTTTTAACATAAAAGCTTTCTAAATTAATGCCAAGGGAGTGCTCTTATTTCCAGAAGAACACAGGAGTCACCAAGCTACTAGGAGGCTTGCTAATAGTTCATGAAGTTATCCAAAGCATCGAGGTGCACTTTGAGCACTGCTAGTAGAGGCCTCACAGGGCTGGCAGAGCCTGGCCAGGTGTTCTCTCGGGCACATAGTGGCTCAGCAGGTGAGTGGTTTAGGCTGAAGTGTGCTGCAGAGTTGACTTTGGTTATGACCTGTGTCTGGGTGCTTGGTCTTGTGGACCAAGAAGGCACTGAGATGCACTTGATGTGCTTCGGGAGTGGGCAGCCCAGGGTCTACTGAGTGGCTCCAGAAAACTCCACTGGGATTTTAGCATTTGCCACTGGTTGCAGTGTATACATGCTCTCATCTGTGATGTATCTCATAGGTGAAGCTGACCCTGGCTTTTGTGTGCATTGTGTCCAAAAGGAAGCACAGAGGTGCTCTTTAGGTGGTACTGCACTAGGTATGCTTGGGCTAGATTACGGCCCTGGGAGGTTGTGGCTGTATGCACTTGTTAGGGGTAGCAGTGTGTGCTGAGTTTTGCTCATGGTGCATTTCAGTGCAAAACCTGACAATTGTGTAGAGAGAGAGACAATTTGGATATTTGGAGTGTGGGGCTAGTTTAAACAAGGAGGGCTAGAGTAACAGCCCAAATTATGTTTAGGGTTAGCGTCTTTGTTACAT